TTAGTTTCTCAAACTTGCCAAGCTATTGCCTAGCTACCTGCAATACCTTCTCTAGCTGGTGTAGTGTCTGCCATCCTTCAGATCTTAGCTTGAACATCTTTAGGGAAGGTTTTATTCACCCAGACTAGATGTACTCTAAGAGCCAGTACTTCCAATATAACATAAATGGTGTTACTGCCTTTAGTCAGCTTTTGAGCTAGACTGTAGATTTCTCGTGAGCAGGGAACATGTCTATTTTGGAAACTGGATATTTTCCCCCCTAAATAATCCTAGGAGGTAAATAGTCATACTTTTAGTCTCTTTAAAAAAAAAAAAAGACCTTCAATATTTTCCATTTTTATTTTTATAGGTAAGATCTTGCTCTGGTTGCCCAGGATGGAGTACAGTGGCAAGATCATAGCCCACTGAAACCTCAAAATCCTGGGCTCAAGCGATTCTCCCACTCCGGCCTCCCAGGTAACTGAGACTTAGAGGTGTGCATCACGATGTCTGGCTAATTGAGAAAAATAATTTTGTACAGATAAAGCTCTCGCTATGTTGCCCAGGCTGGTCTTGAGCTCCTGGCCTCAAGCAATCCTTCTGACTCAGCCTCCCAAAGTGCTGGGATTATAGATATGAGCTACCGTGCCTGGCCTTTATCTACTCACATCTCCTCAACATTTCTGAAACCTGAATGAGGTCAATAACGACCTTAATTCTAAGTTGCTTAAATTTTCTAACCAAAAGCTGAGAGTTGACTAAAACAGTGTCTTATCTGTTTTGGAATATCCTATATTTAAACAAACTAAACTGCCATTTCCATCCATGATCCCACCCTGTGACTGTCATTTTTTAGCTTTGGAACAATTTTCAAATGCCATATATGAATATATGATGGTGATGCAAGAAAAGGGATTGACGCTATCTAGGGGGAATCACGCATTCAAATCTGCAAGACTAAATCTTACCTTTAAAGAATGTTTAGGAGATTAGAACACCAAAGATATAAATACTCAATTACATATATTTGGTAATATCACTGTGGTGGTTTTACAAAGATGTCCACAAATGCTTTGACATCCCTGCCTTCAACAGATGAGATTAATATTCCTCCCCCTTGAGTGTGGGCGAGACCCAGTGAATTGATTCTAATATAGAGTGTGGCAGCCCAAGGTTCAGTAATAAGACTGTATGTTTGGCTGAGCATGGTGGCTCACGCCTGTAATCCCAGTACTTTGGGAGGCCAAGGCAGGGGAATCATTTGAGGTCAGGAGTTTGAGACCAGCCTGGCCAACATGGTGAAACCCAAAAAATACAAAAAGTAGCCAGGCATGTTGATGAGCACCTGTAATCCCAGTTACTCCAGAGGCTGAGGGAGAATAGCTTGCACCTGGGAGGCAGAGGTTGCAGTGAGCGAAGATCACGCCACTGCATTCCAGCCTAGGTGACAGAGTGAGATTCCATCTCAAAAAAACAAAACAAAACAACAGACTGTGCTTTCAACTTGGGTGTGTACTCTCTTGGATCACTTGCCTTGGGGGAAGCCAGCTGCTCTGCTGTGCACTGTCTTCTATTGTGTTGTGTCTATGGAGAGAACCACAATTGGGCATGAAACTGAAGGAGGTCTCTGTCCAACACCTAGCAAGGAACACCTACCTACCTTTCATCTAGCAGGCTGCAAAGAACTGAGGCCAGTCAATGAACACATTAATGGGTTTGAAAGAGGATCTTTCATCCAGCCAAGCCTTGAGATGAGTGTAGCCCAGGGTGACTCTTAACCTCATGGGAAACCCTGAACCAGAACCACTGATTTGTGACTCACCTGTGGGATAATACGTGTTTACTGTTTTAAGTGGCTAAAGGATAATGTGTTATGGATAATACAATGGCTTATAGATGAAAAGGTCCCCATTGCCAAATGAGGCATAAATCAAGTAAGATATTTTTCACCAAGCTGCCCAGAACTAGCATATCCAATTATGTTTCTAGAAGTGATAAACTCACTAAAACCATGCTGTTACTGCTCAAACAATTTTCTGAAATTAACTCTCAGGGCATGAATCCTACTCTTTGGAATTTCCCTTAATGTTGTCAATTCAGAATTTAAAGGCATTTTTGTCATTTGCAGTAAGTCTGGTGGTGAATCAGAAAAAATATCTTTATTATGGATCAAACTTAAGGCATATTTCCAAAGAAATGGGCTTACTTTTCTGTTGTAGGAAAACGCCAGGAGTCATCTTAAGAATGTTTGATGTAACACCAGCACAACCAAAATGACTGTATTTCCAAAACAACTAGCTTGAAAGATGGAACTAATTTGGATGTGTAATTAAAAATTCTTCCTCCCAACATCACTACTTTATGGTCATATCTCACAGGATGGGTAAATCAAGCTAGATTTCTTGAAAACCATAATATATGGGGGATTTGTATACCTTGTATACCTTGTGTTATCTACATTTAAAGTGGTCTTCTTTGGAATCAACAGAAATGACCACTAGATGCCACTGTTGTTGCTTTCTTCTTTTATAAGAAACAGGATCAAAGAACAACAATTTTCATGTCATAATTAACACTGGCACAGAAATTATTGGATTATGTCAATGAAGAGCAAAGACCCTGTTTTTACTACATAGAAGTTTATTGTGAAAGTAAATTAAACATACAAACACACAGTATGGCTAATGGTGGCAAAAGCAATCTGGTAGCTTAAGGCAAGTTTTAATGGAGATGAATTTAGAAAAGATGATGCAATGATGTAATTTTGTTTAAATATAGATTATGAAAAAATATCAAATTGCATCAATAACTTAATATAAGTAGTTTTCAAAGCCTGCACTACTGGAGAAAAAGGGCTCATGATCTTAATGCCAGCATTAAGACAAACAGAAGCAGCGCGGTGCTAAACGACAGGAAAATCCAGTATTTACAGAAGGATGGTAAGAGAAACATTTAACAGCATTTGATTGTATTTACTGGTGGACTGAAAGCCCTTAGCTAGAAAATTGAGGAAAATGTACCATCATCATGTTATTTAAAAAAATTTAAGTGCAGAAGTCAAAAACCAAGGAGCTCTGTAATAAAGTAACCATAAACCATCACTGTAAGGATCACTTAAATAGTGATTCCCTCAGGGGACATTAGGGCACTGAGTGTGTAAACATGTGAGCTGTACAACACCAAAACCAACCAAATTCATTCATAGTACTTGTAGTTACGCAAGATCAGCATGGCCTTTAATGATGCATTATTGTTTATAACAATTTAAACACACTCCTTACCATGCATGACTTCAAATATATAACAAATATTTTTATTCTGATACAGGATATCTGTTTATGAAATAAGTAATCTATATACAATGAAAGTAACACCTCCCTCATCAATCAAGTAGTTACATGCTTTTTAAATGCAAAGATCTTATTCAGACTTCAGTTCATTTTCTGAATTGCCTGTGTCAGTTTTTCACTCATTAAAATAATGCCATTTTATGATAAAATACATTTTTCAAAAATTCAGAAATGTAGTAACATTTAATAAATGTGACCATGAAAAATATTTGTAAGGAGGTGCCAAATGACTTAGCACTTTTTTCCAGTCTGTATCTAAAAAAAAAGTTGCACTCAATTTGACAGTAAGCCTATTTAAAAAATATTCTTACATTAATTCATCTCAAAAGGTTCTATTAACAGTCCTTTTGCAAAATACCATATATATAGCTGAAAACGTTTTTTCCAGAATTAATGGAAGAAAATGTATACTCTGCACAGATGAACATTTTCTTTCTAAAACTAATCTTCCATCATCACCCAGCATGTTTTTACAAAAGCATGCAATATAAAATACACATAAAAGCAGCTATCTTAAACATGATTTTAATACAATATTACCTTTGTAGCTGATTCATCACTGTCTCCAGTTTAATATGCTGTTACATACATGAAGAAGCTCCAGTATCCCTTTTCTGATTGATTTTTTTAAAAAATCCCTGAATAAAACAGAAGCCAGCCTGTGACTTCTTTAGGCATTGCAGTAGAAGATCATCTATGGAGAATATCTCCAGCCGAACTCATGATTACAGAACAGAAGCTAAAGCAGTCTGGGTCAGATTACAGAGTTAATACCAATTTAAAACTTTTACGTTTCAAAAGAAAGAGCCTGTAATTCCAGCACTCTGGGAGGCTGAGGCAGGAGGATCGTTTGATGCCAGGAGTTTGAGACCAGCCTGGGCAACACTGCAAGACCCTGTCTCTCTATATATAAAATTTTAAAAAAAGGAAGAAAGAAAGAGTGTGATTATTAGCATTTAAAAGGATACTGCAACTTTAATAACTGTAAACTTTGTTAGAAGGCTGTGGCAGACAGCTCTATGCTACTAGGTATTTAGCCTGTAAATAATGCAAACAACATCAGCAGTTTTAAAATGCTATAAAACTATAAAAACACAAAAGAAAATGGGGCAAACAAAACAAAACAAAACAACAAGAATGCTTATCTAAAATGAAGCTGTATAACCAAAACATCTAGAAGTACAAAAAAAAAATTAGAAAAAATGATTACAGAAACCCTCTGATATAATTTTAATTTCTTGACCTGTTTTAAAATGACACAAACAGGCCGGGCGTGGTGGCTCATGCCTGTAATCCAAGCACTTTGGAGGTGAAGGCAGGTGGATCACCTGAGGTCGAGAGTTCAAGACCAACCTGACCAACATGGTGAAACCCTGTCTTAAAA